AATTAACCGGAATCTACTGTGTATATAATTTGTTGTTCTTTTTCCCCACAATCACGATAATTCTGAAACTGTGCTGCAGTTCTCTAAACACAATGAATGCAGATTACGTGGCTAAAATTATCTCAAGGCTATTTGGTAATTTCACAATGAAAAGCAAATTTACACTTATCCCATTTTCAGACAGAAATGAGCACAGCTTTGTTACTAATAAACTCCAGAAAGGAGAAAACTTCTTGACAAGTCGCTCACCTGGTCAAGAACCCGGAGATTCACAAAATGCTGTCAGTGGTTCGTATACTGAGCCAGATGAATCCAATCCGCACCCACGCGCCATTTCTTCAAAACATATTTGTGCCTGTGTCTTTGGAAGAAGTTGTTCCGTCCAAAATGTTGTATGTATTTGTGGTTTCTCCTGTGCTCCGCTCATCTCGACCTCCTTCTTACGTTGTACCTGAGCACTGACGCATTCCAGCCCTGGAAACGTTATTTTAATTAATTGACGTCCAAGACGCCTGTCATTTAATAAAGCACGAGTCAGAAACCTCCGGACTTCGTCTTCTCCTCAGGAAGTTTCTTCTTCATTTGATAAAGATACTTCAGTGAAATTTGTACCGGTTTCTTCTGGTCAATACGTGTGTTTAATCCCTCGCATATTTAACTGTGACCAAACAGTGCCTACAACAAGGTTAGGATTTAGATATATAAGGGTTTCAGTACTCCTTAGTACCAACTGGAACCCCTTCCTGAAGGCGATGAACTGTGTCTTGTGACATCACCTTTCACACTGGAAGAAATTTAATTTCTTCTACATTCTATAATAATAGTAATGATAATACTGCGTTTAACTTCCACATATTTCTATTATTTTAATGGTTGTGACATTTATTCCTTATTATTCTTCTCCTTTGCCACTTTTATAGGATAACTTGTCCAGTTGAGCCTGAACTAAATTGTGTATATTTGTTAGTTAAGAATATGATTGATGTTAAAATGCTTGACTAATTATAGGTTACCACTGCCATAGAATCAACAAATAGAATGGTGAGTGCGGACCATTTCTGATTTTTTAAACTTATAAATACTGTGTAGATAGTCACTGATAACCATGGTAGCTTGTTGAATAATTGAACTGGTTGAATTGGACGGCTGGGACCAAATCCCAGTGGACAAATTTCAGTTTTGTGTTTTCAGCGTGTCCAAACATCTCTAGAGCCAAAGCAGGTCTTTTCTCCAGAGGAAGCAAGGAGATGGCTGTAATCTGGTAGAAGTTCACTGACATTTTAGTTACTTGCTGTCTCCCATCATGAGGGTGTTCAGTAACCCTGATGATGGAGACAGCAAGTACATCTAAAAATACTGATAAACGTCTACCAGACTACACAGTTTCACAACCCAGAAAACTGCCGTCCTCACACTCGCTGTCATGAGTACCTCAAGTCCTACCACTTGCCTTATTTATGTGGAGCTCATCGTTTACTTTCACGTTAAATATTATGGTTGATCCTCGTGGAGAGACTTGCACTTTGTTGCTTAGGCAGGCAGAATTCAGAGCAATCAGAATATGTAACCCAGATATCTGCCCTCTTGAGAAGTGTCTTCAGGCTGTGAGGTTACCATGATAGGATCAATCTGTTTCACACGGAATGTCAGAGGTGTTATGAGTGAGCTGGTCCAACTGAAGATGCCTGATTCATTTTCTTTGCATTAAGGAGAAAAATGCAACATCAGTGACTGTAATATATACCCACTGAAAATTAGTGTGACTGTTGGTTTCTACCTGCTCAACTGTTGTTAAGTTATAACCTGTCGCTGAATGTAACATTTCTTTACCTAATGTCGCTGTTAAGTGGTTACCACTGTGTTTGGGAAGTTCTGAGTTCAAATCTTGAAGTTTCTCATGGTTGTGTTCAGTTCTTCTGAGCGAATGTCAGGATAGTATTTGAAGTAAGCTGTGACCACTTCCTTCCACTTCAGAAACCATTGTAGCATTTGATGCTGTATAGTTTGAGCTACTGAAAGTGTCTTGAAGTAAACCAGATATAAATAATGAATATTTCTCTGTGTGTGAAGATTTCCCCTTCATATCTTTATCATTGCAGGTGGACCGCTTGAAGATGGCATTTATCATTGCAGGTGACCGCTTGAAGATGGCACTTTTAGACAATATTAATTTCGTGCATTTCTGTTACTTTCTGCCATGATGACGTTCAGTCCCACATGATGTTGGTCGGTGCAGAAACCCTGTATTTGTTAAATTTGTTTTAACGAATGCTGTCTGCGTAAAATCTGCATTCGCTGTAAATATGATAACTAGCAAACCACTGCAAACTGGAAACATACATGTAAAGTTTGACTGGCGATATGCTTAGGACAAAAATATTCCTATAAATTCTACATGCAGTAATATTTCTTGGTAAACATTTGTAATATTGCAATGATGCAGAACTGTGTATGACAGATTTGAAGACATGTTAGTAGGTGAAAATACGTACTTGTATCATATATCGTTGCAACGCTTACTTGGTCAATAGTTTAGCAGTATATGAAGGTGATACTGAAATTGTTTGATGTGGTATGTACTGCAGTTTTGCAGTCTTATCTCGAATTCTGATCCGAATAAGGATTATATATTATTCTATCATTTGTATTTTATGTTGTGTTGGAACAGGCATTCACATTAACCACGAAAGAAACTAAATATGTTGTTGGAGCCGAAGGCTGTTCGCTGTATATTACTTACCCAACTCCGCAAAAATGCTGTGCGCCAGTTGGATTTAATGGTCCACATGATGGTATGAGCACTGTTCTTTTTGTGATACACTTAGTTTTTCTGTCGAGTTCTTTCTTTCACAGTTTTCTTCGAAAAATTTTGCAAACCGTTTTGCTCACATTTCAACACTTGCACCTGTTACTAACATTTGGCTGTTGCGCAATTCCTGGCACCAATCGATACATGTATCGATTGTGAGTCGAGTTTTAGTAACGAAGTATTCGCTATATCCGACAGATGTCGCAAGTGTGTAGCACCCGATTGTATTGATTGGTATAAAACATTGTGTTTGGACTTTGAACTGTGTGTGTGCCTTGGATCTAATTAAACATTTTATGTATGCTGTACACAATTAATAACAATAATTGACATCATCTGCAAAACTGAGTGGAGACAGTCCAAAAAAAGAAAAATGTGTTACATAACCTCAAAAAAGTCTGTATAATTCAAAGAAAGACACCCAAGTATTTCAGTAAGCTTTGCAGTATATTCTTGTGTGTGTGTGTATTGTTCATCAGGACATGAGTTCATGAAATGACAAGTATGTGTACAATACTTAGAATGAGAATTGTATGTATGGTGCATAGACATTGAAAGTACTAATTCTAATTGAACTTGTTGATGATATGACAATAGAGTACAAACAGTACATAATAACAGACCAACTCGATGACAATGGGTCCCAGGCTCATTGAAAATTTTACTTTTTTTAAGTTGTTATACTTTTTTGTATCAAGCCATGAGAACTGTAAATGCTGGCTACAAATGCAGATCTACAAGTCAACTTCAAATACCTCATACTCTGTTAAATTACTACATCAAAAACATACACATCATTAGATTACATGCATACATTTTTATTTAATTGCATGGATCTCTAAGTTAGTTGGATGGTAGTAGGATGTGTAATAAGTCTGAATAATACAAGTACAATTCATACAGTTATAAAGATATCACATAGTATCAGGGTTTACATAAAATACAAATACATCCACCCATTACATTCTTTTGATACATTATACTACCCATTATAATATATTATGACCAGAAAACTTTAAGGAATTATTTGTAATGTATTAATAACTGTACATAGTTATGCAGTTGCAATACCAGGAACTCAAACTTATCATGTTTTAACCCATTAAACTCCAGAGAGGTCACTACAGCTGTTTCTTTTCTGTCTACATTGATTACAACACCAAATAACAGGTGTCAGAAGTTAAACAGCACAGATATATATTGCCTGTGATTATGATGGTTTTTGATGGTTGGTTGTTCAAGAAAAACAAAAATGTTCTGTGAAAAATTTATGCAGCCTCCTTGACCACTTTCTGTTTTTTCTTATGATCAAAATTCTGTATCAAGATGATGTCCCTGAATAGGACCAATAAAGGTACAGGGATACAGAAGATGTCCAGAGATAGAAGGTAAGGATCTTCATAGTACAGAAAGACGAAGACAATAACACCGGTCTCTTGCCAACAGCCGCCATTTCTTTTTGAGACTAATACACCGTGTTACGTGTGGATAAGAACGTACGAGAATGTTCGAATGTTAGAATAAGAAGCTGAAATAATTATTCACTATTTAAAATTGTATTTAAGCTGCTAATATAATAGAAAAATGTATGCATTCAAATCCAGATATAAGATAATAATGCAAAATTATTACCACAAAACTTGGCGAGACAGGTGAGGGGAGGGGGAGGGAAATAGGTGAGAACAGACAACAGTGGAGCCAATGTGGGATCTTTAGACAGAATACAAATTGAGGAATGAGGAATGAGGACAAAAAAAAGAAATAAGAAAATGAAACATAAGTTAAAATGTATAATAACAATAATCGACACTTGCAA